TAACGCAGCACTTTCCAGCAATATTCTAATCAGAATTTATTGTCTCCTTAGTTCCTAAAGTGAGAGACAGCATACATCCATTTATCTGTAGATATATCACGTTAAGAAGGAGAGGAATCTGCGCACACAACTGGCGAGTTAGAAAACTTTGTGGAAGAACATGCAACCTGCATTAACGTTCTGAAGATGACTTTTACAGTAAAAAGGTTGGCAGATAACTTAGGTCATCAAGTCATGAAAATATGACTCTCACTTCAAAAACAACTTCCATTTACTTCCATTCACATCCATATTTGCATTCGCCCATCCTTAATTAGCATGAATTCAATCGATATTAACGTTGAAAAAACGTTGTCGAACTCAGTCACATCATTGAGGCTAAGATCAAAGTGAGAGGATTTTGGGTAGTCAGAAACTATATATCAAACGTATTTCTCTCAGTGAAGACACCACTACCATTCACCGTAGACAGTGTTTAGTTGACAGAGAGTATTTATCTAGAAATCCACCTCCAATTTGTTACCCTTGCATTGTCATTTCATTGGTCACGCGACTTCCCGTGGTCCTGTTCGGTGTTAGCTTCCAGGTTGTGTCGTATTTTTTAATSCGACATTTTTTCAATGTCATATATATTCGATGATTTGCATATGTCATAATGTTTTCAATATTTTTTTCATCTTACAGGTCAGAAACGTATTTTTCCAAGTTCACGCACGAATACTGTCCGGAATATTCCTATTACAGCTTCTGAGCACACTGGACTTTTTTATATTAACAATTGAATTATCATGTTAAATAATCATTCGAATGAAAATACCGCAAATAAATATCGGGCTATGGAAAATTTAGTGGTGGGAACTAGCAGTAAACTAGTGTGAGCTGCGTCGGTGTTTCTAAAGAAACAGTTGTGTAAAAAGATAAATTTAACACCGTAAAAAAGTATGTGGAAAAACTTACTGACGTTTCGGATGTTAATCCTTCGTCGGAGTAAAGATGGAAAATTTATGTTTCTTGCGTTTGTCTGTTTGCTGCTTGCATTTTTGATGCATTTTTGAAGATACAAATAAAATGTTATTATCAAAAATTTTGAGGTAACAAAATATCCTCGAGAAATGCTCATATTCAGTTATTGTCTGTCTATCGCTCAATCGCTCTATTATTGCTTTTAGCTGTGAGGGAT